CACGCAAAATGTCCCCAGCTCAGTGGCTTCAAACAACCACCATTTATTATTCCTCACAAATCTGGGGTGGTGTGGGGCTGGCTGATCTCTGCTGGGATTGCCAAGGGTCTGCAGTTTTCCTGGGGCCTCTGTCAGGCTTAGCTAGAGTATCTTAGCTGGAACAGATCTGTTCTATGTGTTATTTATCCTCCTTCTGAGACCAGCATATATGCCTAGGTGTGTCCTTCTCATGGCAAGGCCAGGAATCCAAGAAAGCAAGCAGAAGTACTAAGGCCTTCTGAGACATGGGCTGGGAACTGGTCCACTGTTCTGGCACATCCCCTCATTCAACCTGCCAAAGCAAATTACACAGCCAAACCCAGATTCAAAAATGGAAGGGAGGGCCTCTATAGTGAAGGAAACCACAAAGTCACATGGCAAAGGGTGTGACTCCAGGATAGATAAAGAAGTGGGGCCATTAATGTGATTTCCACAGCATCTACTACAAGTGATAATCAAAGGGCTGAAGATTAAATTAGACGTAGGGTTTACTTGAATCACTGCATAGATAAGAACAGCTCTATTACTGACTAGTGATACATATATAGAGAGGGAGTTAAACTTTTTCAAACAGAATCATAAAATCAAGGGGAAAGAGAAAGGAAAAGAAAGACAAATTAGAAAACAATGAAAGGGGAAGGAGAGGAGCAAAGATGGCAGTGGCAGTGATGGTAAAAATAGGACTCCAGAGCAGCACCTGAAGCACACATGTACAGTGAAGAGGATGTAATCATGAAACCATAGAAATGATTTTTCTAATCTGAACCATTGTTTTTAAACAGATGTCCCATAAGAATCCAAATTTCTGGCTTTCCTTGAAAAGTCAGAAGCTCTGTAACACTGGGTTCACATTCCCACGTGGGTTCACAGTTCTCCAGAACTGAGTAGTTGCTGCCCTATGCCCTGTGCATTTATTTTCTTTATCTCCTTAGCCCTTGGAGCCATTTGTGTTTGCTTTACACACTACTTCTACAGCCAGATCTGTTTCTTAAGCTTCATACGGGCTTCTAGAGTGCTCATTACTTACTGAGCATCTGTACTGGATGTCCTGAAGGAACCTCAAACTCCATATGCTCAACAAAATCAAAACTAAAGCAACCCTCCCCTGTGTAACATACTCTTCTCCAATGGTCCCTACCTTCTTTCTCCAAGCTAGACAATTATCCATCACTTTGACTTTTCTTTCTCTAAAATACTAGAAAAAAAATTTTCATTCTCAATAAAACACCAGAGTGCCTAGGAAATACCTTAGAAAGAATGCCCAAGACCTTTTACAGAAAAAGTATTAAAACTCTATTAAAGGACAAAAGAGAATGAATAATTTGAACAACAACAACAAAAAGAATGTATGTGGATGGGATATCTTAACAATGTAAAGTTTTATGCTATTCCTTCCCGAATAAATCTATATGTTCAATGCAATCTTAATAAAAATTCCTTTGTATATTTTGAGGATCTCAACAAACTCATTCTAAAATTTACATGGAAAAATAGAGGTTCATGAGTAGGTCAATTTTGAAAAATAAAAGCAGAGTGGGAACTTGCCCTAGCAGATACTAAGATATACTACAAAATCAAAGTGTTGAATGTAGAATAGTTCTGGCTAACAGACAAACAGAAGAGAATAGAGAGCTCAGAAATGGACTCAGATATATATGGGAACTTGATAGATGATAAATGTGTGTGGAAAAAATACACCTGAATCCCTCCAGTTAAAGTAGAGAACTATAAGTGAAGGTTAAAATTATAACCTTACAGAAGAAAATATGACTCAGGGAGTGGAGAAAGACTTCACGAATAAGATTCAAAAGCCCAAATCATAAAACATATGAAATAAAATGAAGTTGAATAAAGACTGATTTAACTTATAAAAATTAAGGATTTCTGTTCAATAAAAGACACCATAGATGAATTTAACAGATATATGACAGACTGGGAAAAGATCTCTGCAATATCTAAAACTGTAAAGGATTAATATCTAGATTGTAGAAAGAACTGCAAAATAACAGGAAAGAAATAGGCAAAAAATTATGAATAGGCAGTTCACAGAGGGGAAAGTCCAAATAGCCATTTCAATAAATATACGAAATTCTCTGATAATCAGAGAATTGCAAATTAAAACAACAGTGAAATACCTCATTAAACTCATAAAAATGGCAAAAAAATGTACAGGAGGGACTAATATTATGTATTGGAGAGAATGTGGAGGACAAAGAACTCCTTGTGCACGGTTGGTGCCATTCTGAGAAGCAATATAGCGGAACGTAGTGAAATTAAATGTTTGCCCTATGGGCCAGAGATCACACGCCTTGCTATATATCCCAAAGAAATGAATGCACAGGTCAATAAAGTGGCATGAACAAGGATTTTCATTGTGGCATCAATTGTATTAATAGAGAATTGGAAATAACTTAGATGTTGACAACTAGGGTGATAGGTAAATAAAATGTGGTATATGTAAACCTTGGAATACTATGCAGCACTTAGATGTACGACAGCAATATATATGAATTTTAAAAACATCTTTAGTGTGGAAAAAATAAGAAACAGCATAAGATTTAAAACCAAATACTACTTATGTAAAAGAAATGCACAGGAAATATAAGGATAGGATAGATTTATATTTAAGGTCATATATCAAACATGTGAGACTGGGTGCCCATATTGGCAGAAAGGAGGTAATGGGACTGGGGATACAGAGCAATTTTAAAACAAAAACAAAAACGAAAATAACAAAAAAAACCCCCAAAAACAGAAAAAGAGAAGATCCATCCATGGGCTAATGTTGATAATGTGTTGTAAACTAAGGAGTATCATTACAGTCTGAGGTACCAAATATCAATAATAACTTAGGAAAAACACTATAAAAACAAAGATTTATTCGGGAAGAAATATTTTAGACTATGAAGGGTGCCGAGTAGTATGTTTCTCTAGGGCACTGGCCCTGTCCACTCTACTAAGTACCTTTTGATTTGAAAACTAGGTGTGGCAGACTGCTATTTACCTACTCAACAAGTATTTTCTCTTTCTTCCATATTTATAGAACCCTTTATTGTTAGAGGGAATAATGTGTCCAGCTCAGAAAGACATATACACACACACACACACATACACACACAATTCCCAGCCCCACTTGCAGCAAGGTGTGAGATATAAACAGAAGTCACTGGGTGGGGCCTTGGGAAAGTCCTTTTGTCCCTTGCCATATTGTAAAATGAATTGACCTGGAGGCTGGGAATATGCTCTATGAATAGAAGAGCAGAAAGACAGACGGAGCCTGAGTCTCTAAAGAGCTGGTAGAGCCACCTTACCAGCTCTGGACAGTCCATCTCCAGACTTCTTTAATGTAATAGAGTAACCTCCTAATTTGTTTAATAAGCCACTATAAACTAAGTTCTTTTACTAGAACCTTAATGCAATTCCCACCTCATACACAAAGCTTTTATTTTTGCTCAAAAATATATTGTGACTCTTTTCTTCCAGACTGATGGTCAGAGGTAAGTTATAAACTAGTGGCATGATAGGTCAGAATTTAGGATTAAATGGATTACCTTTAAGACAAATCATTGCTTCAAGTAGCAGCTAATAAGCTTATTTATTCCTTCTACAATGAATGGTTAAAACTTGAAATTTCTCATCTATAAAATGAGAAACTGGAAGTCCCTTTACCTTAAAGTTACCTTACAGGTGGTGTTTATGGAATTCCTTACCCTCCCCCCCCAAAGGTGAAGAAAGTGGGAAATATAGCTTTTATTTTAAAAGATTTGGGTAAATTCTTGATTAGAGTCATAATACATTAAGGTAAGTCAGATTTCAGGGGGCAGTACATCTCTATTTTACATCGGGGAGTACATATTCTGCCTTCTCACTAAATATCCTTTGATGGCTAGAAGATCACTGTGGTGCCATTTTGGACTCTTAAAGCCTAAGGAATAATGTGTGCAGGACCTAGAGAGGGTAGGTCCCCGCTGGAGAACTCACCGCCTGTGACTTAACTAGTGGGCAGTGCACGGGACAAAAAGCACACAGAGCAGCCACTGAACTAGGACATCAAGCAGGATTCTTATGTTCAGCAAATATTTAAGGATACCCGCTCTGTGACAGGCACTGAGCTGGGCCCTGGGAGACGACAGGCAAGACGTAGTCGCTGACCTCCATAGGTCTCAGGCCCGGCATTCCGAACTCAAGCTCTAATTCTAAATGACGTTGGTTAAGAAGGAAAAGTGTGTTCCAAGAAGCCCTCATCAGTTTAAAGGCTGCTGAACAAACGCCTGTTTCACATAGACGAAACACGAAATAGATGCACTGAAACAGAAAAAATTTCTCTCCTACTTCCGTAGAATCTTGCTGCTTACTTTCCCACTAGGGATGCTTCTCTCTGCAAGCCAGACCTATAGGAATTTGCTTTCTTTTCCTAGGGGGCCTAACCTCACGGAATCCGCAGAAGCACTAAGTAAGCAGAGCGTCAGAACACTACGTTCACAGTCCTGGTTTAGCATCAATTCTATGAACCCTGGCAAAACATTTCTTGGAGATTCACTGTTCTCATCTGTAAAACGAGGAGCTAGGAAGTGCACTCTGTGCAAAAAGTTTGAAAACGTTTTGAAAGTGTGCAAGCGTAAAATCCCGCGACCAGAGGATGGGCGATCTTCTGTTTATCCCTCCCGGGCTACTGTAGCACCTTTTCCGCCAGCTCTCCACGCCCTCACGTCCCGCCCCGCCCCCCCCCTCCCCGCCCCGCCCCGCCCCGCCCCGCCCCGCCCCGCCCCGCCCCGCCCCGCCCAGTCCCGTCCCGCCCCGTCCCGTCCCGTGCACCCAGCAGCCGGCGGAAAGTGCGCCTGTGCGCTGTGAGGCCCTTCTCGCCTTCCGTCGCTTCCTTTTCCGTCTCGGCCCCGCCCACCGCCGGCGCCGTCGTTTCCGGTTCAGCCCAGAAACGGCCCAATCGCTTCTGGTTCCTGCTTCGCTGGCCAGCCCATTTGTCCAACGTTTCGGTGGCTTACTCGGTCTCCGGGGCAGGTGGTTACCAATAAAGTTTTACTGTTTCAAAGCCGGGAGGACTGGGCCCATTCTCGGTCCCTTTGCTCGCTGCCCGCAGTTCGCCTCGGCTACAGGTAACCAGCTTTAGGGCCTCATGGCCGCGGGCCGCCGCAGCCGGGCGGTGATGAGGACGCCTTTCGCTGCCCGCGCGCTCCCGTGGCTTCTGGGTCCGTCGGCGTCCGTCTCAGCTTGAGCGCAGTCCCTCCGCTCCCGCGGGCCGCTTCGCGCCGGACCCCATGGCCTCTGAGGCGCCGCCGCCTTCGTTGTCGCCGTCGCCACCTCCCTCCCCCGAGCCTGAGCTGGCCCAGCTGAGGCGGAAGGTGGAAAAGTTGGAACGCGAGCTGCGGAGCTGCAAGCGGCAAGTGCGGGAGATCGAGAAGCTGCTGCATCACACAGAGCGGCTGTACCAGAGCGCCGAGAGCAACAACCAGGAGCTCCGCACCCAGGTGCGCGGTCCGCCTCCAGCCCCACGCCCCATCCAGCCCGAGATGAGGCCTTCGAAGTCTAAGATAGCCTCAGAAGGTCCCCCTGGTAGGGCCCAGGACTGCTTTATAGAGTACCTGAAAGAGTCAAAAGTTCAGTGCGATGATAATTCCCGGTACATTTGAAACAAACCTAAGCGTTGGGCTACTCGATTTAGATAAGTGCGTGAGCTGCAGTTGTGGCCGGCGTGGAGTGCACTTAAGTACTTCAGTCTTAATTCTCACTTGTGAAGTCCCATTGGCAGTAGGCACATTTCTAATATTTTGTTCTAGATCACTTTTGAGTTTGTTAAAGCGCCGGATTTCAATCAGAATCCCATTTATCATACCCTAGATGTGTGAACTGATATTGAGCCTCAGTGGCCCATAAAATGAGAATGCTAGGACCACACTGGTGGAGGTTAAATCAAAGTAAATGTCAACAGACTGTTTTACAGTTTTGTAAATTGCTGAGCGCTAGGTATGTGTGAGGTTGTTCTGGGCATTCATCTTGAGTAGTCTAGTGGAAGTAGGGAAGATAGAACTGTCTTCGTTAGAGACACTAAGCAGCTAACTTTGTTCTTATAACATGCAGTAAGGACAAATATTTAAACTCACATTTTAAAAAAACTTTTAAACAGCATAATCTTTTCAGCTTGATTGTTTTGGGCAGTCGCGCTCTTTCCCAACAAATTATTTCCGCGTAATTATTAATTTCAGTTAAACTGTTGTCTTTTGGCATATATTGATACATTTCCTAAAACCACAAATGTAGGCTGAACGTTAAAGTATCATCAAACTTTGTTACGCTTTGCTATCAAATAATCTATGAAAATAACCGCTGAGTTGCAATGACTTTCTGTGCCCATTGTATAGAGTTGTTAACATTATGACATTACCGAAAATTTGTGTTTTGTTACTCAACAACTATCTATTGGACAACTACAGTGCACAGCGACTGTGCTAGGAGACTACAGATATTGTTAAAATATTGTGGGGAAAGGGGAGTAAAGTATGATGAGCTGTGAAAAAAAACCCTTTTATAATTCTAAATTGTAAAAGTACTGCTTGCTATAGAGAACCTAAGAGAAAACGTTTTTGCTAATCTTTGAAGAGCCAGCGTTTTGGTTATTAGTGTTAATTTGCTGGCAGTCTAATATGAAAAATTGAAAAGCATAGAAAGCTGTAACTTTACTAGTGATAGTGATTATTCTTCTTTATTATCTTTCTAGTCAGCCTCCCCTGGTGGTGGGTGGAGTTTGTTAACTGTCATTCCTAATTACTAGATAGTGTTTTATCTGGAGCAGTAAAAATTTGGCTTGAGAATTGAGGGTGAACTAGCAGGAAAGTACAATATGTACAGGCTTTGGAGTCAAAGAAACCGTGTGCAAATTACTTTCTTTAGATTTCTCACATGTAAAATGGGGATTAGGACAACTAATTTGTAAGGTGGTTGTAAGAATGAATGAGATGTTACCCACAGTACCAAGTGCAGTGCCTAGCTAGCATGTAGCAGATTCTGTATAAATGGTCTTGTTCATAGTAATAGTGGTAGTAGCCAGAGCTAGGATTAGAGCAAGGCAATCAGTAGCCTAGGGCGAAAAATTCAAGGGGGCACTCATTCTCAGGTATGACTCTATACTTGCATGAAGCTGAGAGTGAATGTCTCCTTAAATTTTGTGCCTTAGGTGCCTTGCTCGCTTCACTCTAGTTCCTGCCCTGGTGGTAGCAGCAGATCTGATAATCTGTGAAGTGCACAGATAATCCGTATATAATCAGTCTTATCACTTTTCTCTTTTTAAGCTTTGTGTATCATTAAAGAAGCTTGTTTTTTGGTTTTGTGCCTATAATGGGTGTAATCTCACACTGAGTTCCTGTCTGACTGAGCTGTATTGATGAGGCTGCTCTTCATCTGCTTATGGGTATTTTTCACGCTCAGTTGTTATGGCCTTGGAATTCAGTGAGACACAGGGAGGCGAGATGCATCTCTGAGGCAGTCACCTCTCTTTCCTTCTGCTCCAGTTACTTAATTAGAAGATTACTATTTCAAGGAAAAAGTATGTTAAAGTATATGAGTGGCATTATTTAAGTGAATGGTTAATTCCAGGTGGAGAACACTGAATGATACTAGATAATTTAATTCAATGATTTAATTCTCCTTAGGGAGAACTGCTGACTGATTAAAATAGTAGTATAAAAACTTTCTTATTTGTTAGAAATAAAGGATCCTGTTCACTAAGTCTTATTAATTTAGCCAGTCTGATTTTTGGAGGTAATAATTTGAGGTTAGCTAGAGAATATAAGAATAAAAATATCTCCTTCTGCAGATGTAAAACGTGAAAGCCAATTATATTGTAGCATTTTCAGTTTTTCTGAAAAGGAAACTAGCTGATATTGGTACTTCTCCAAACTTTTACCAGGAAAAATAATTATTGTAATTTCAGGAGAACAGTGTGTATATTATTAGATTGCTGTATGGTTTATTTTTCCTAAAGCCTTGCTTTCTTTTAGGTAGAAGAGCTCAGTAAAATACTCCGTTGTGGGAGAAACGAAGATAATAAAAAGTCTGATGTAGAAGTACAAACAGAGAACCACCCTCCTTGGTCAATCTCAGGTATTCTGCTTATAGTGAAGATATCCTAATACTACTACATTCAAATCATGCTAACATGGAGTTTTCTTTAAATTCTTTAAATTTAGAATCTGTGTACATCTAGATAAATAGGAGAGCTGTTACAAAGTTGACTTTTCTCCATATAATTTGGTATTTTCAGATAATCTATTTGCTCTTTTGGTGGGAAGGTAATGTATTGTTATTCCTGTAAATACGTAATATTGCTAATATGCTTTCAGTGGCACATTCACTGAGTAATTTTTGCTATGCTGTAAGCCATCTACTCTCATTTGACCTTACTTGTGACCAGGGGCATGTGTTTTCTTGTTGATGTGTTCCACTTAGCATCAATTCAGTGTCAGTCTCTAGGCCCTCCTGGGAATGGGGTGAGCCTACAACCCAGGCCTTGTTAGTGACATTATGTTGTGAGGCAAAATAACTGAGAAACCAAGTTTTAATAAATAGGGATAACAAGAAATGATCTTTCCCATTAAATTTTGCCTTGTTTTATTCAGATGCAACTTAGCAAATTGCTAAACACAGCAATGGTATAAACATTACATATCTGTATAATATTATGCTTTTTAAAAAGTCAGCACCATGAGCAAAATTTGACAGAAAAAGTCAGCCCTTGACATGTTGTCATTTGATATTGAAGTATACTGTGGTATGTAGTTAGACGTTAAGAGTTGCTAATTTTTTTTTTTTTTGACAGAACACAACCTGTTTTCTCTTTTAACTCTTGCTATGGAAAATCCAAATCTGCTTACCTTTTTTCCTTTTTAGCTTGACTGCTAGGGAACTGAAGGTGACATTAGAATCAAAGATATATATCTCTGCAGATTTATTTGGACCATTAATTTTAATCTGTTAAAATGTGTATAATTATAAAAATATGGTTTGTTTGCAACGTGTGCTCTTTTGTGTTCAGTGCCAGTGTTTGGGAATTAAGCCCTTTTTATATACACTATTCTAATATGATATCACTTAATTTGTTTTTGCAATAGATTATTATTATCAGACATACTATAATGATGTTAATCTTCCAAATAAAGCATCTGAACTCCCAGTTCAGGAAGATCAGGATATCAAAGCTTCTACTTTTAATTCTAAAGACCAGTCACACATAGAAAATGATGCTTATGCTGGTACTGATATAACAGAAAATGTTAATTGTGGACAAGAGGACCATTTTGCCTCAAATTCACAGGTAATAAAATGCTTCACTTGAAACTGTTGATACTCAAGAACTTGTTCTTTGTTGTTATTACGTAGAAAAATAGACTTCTTTGGTTTATTACAACATATACAAGGGTTGTAAGTATTCTGCGTGTAATTATTGCAGTGAATAATACAGTTTTTGAGAAATAAAAATGAGAACTTGTTCGTATGTGTAACTGTTTTCCTACTCTGTTGTGTTGCAAAAATGTATGCTGTACATAAACTAAACAAAATTTGTCAGTACGTTTGACTCAACCAAAAAATTTTGAGCAACCACAATACCATGTTCACACCAAATTTTTTTTAATACTTCCTTTATGTCAAATATCTTGCCACTGTTCAAATTTCCCAGAATGTTTTATAAATTTCTTTTTACCATTTGTTTGAATCAGGATCCCAGTAAGGTTCATACAGGGCAACTGCTTGATGTGTGATGTATAATTTATACCTTTCTTCTCTATCTCTTTTCTAAAATTTTTTTTCCCCTTGAGCCTGTAATTATTGAAGAAGCCAGATCATTTGTCTTAAAGAATATTTCAGTCTGTATTTTGTGGATTGCTTCCTTATGGTATTAGGCATTTATTTTTGAGTAATGGTCACTCACTTACTTCTAGTGTCTTCAAAACTGGGTCAGAATTGAATTAACTGATACACTAATTCATATTTTTTAAAGTGGGTCAAATTGTAATTGATAGCCATCCCTTTCCATTGCAGAAATTGAGGTCTTATTATTCAGAATAGTTTTTAGGCTTGTTTATTGTTTCAAGTTCTGCTAACTTTTATATTGATATGAGGATGTTTTTGTCCTCTTTGACATGATTGTATCATACCTAGGAGCCAGCATCTGTGTTAGCAACAGAAGATACATCCTTAGAAGGTTCATCACTAGCTGAAAGTTTGAGAGCTGCAGCAGAAGCTGCTGTATCACAGACTGGATTTAGTTATGATGAGAATACTGGATTGTATTTTGATCACAGCACTGGATTCTATTACGATTCTGTAAGTATCTCTGACCTTTTAATACTGTATGGTTGTGTTCTTAGCTGCTTGAATACCAAATATTAAACCCTAGGTTGAATTAAGATAAGCAGGGAGCTGCATGTAAAAATTTATTTAAAGCTATTTGGCAAGAGTAAAGATTTATAAAGTAGCTTATGATACTATATTTCTATGTTTATTTAATTAAATAAGTTAATTGTGTTATTACAGATTAATATTTTAGAGACATCTAATAACCTTTTATATGTAAAGTAACATACAAAAATGTTAGCATATTTATTAATAAAAGGAGACAACTACATTTTGTAAAATGTTTAAGGACCTAAACTAAAAGGAAGTAATGTTGTTAATTCTAGGCTTGGGGTAAGATTTTTAAAAAATTGTTTCAAATACTTATATCTTTATGAATCCATTTTAGATCACAGAGGAATCTTTTTCTTAAATTCTTTATAGCATGTTTATTATTAGTCATTGTTTTATATTTTGTGACTTCTAAGCATTTCACTTTTAAAAAATCAATTTGTTAACAGTGAGAACTAGGGAATTAGTATGGAATCACAAATATAATGGACCACGGACTAGGACAAAACCAGAAAAGAAAGTTCTTGATTTTTAATATAGTGTTATGACTGTTGAAGGTCTGGTATTTAATTGGATTTTTTCAGGTTTGGTGACAACGATCCTGGAAGTTATATACCCACATACCTCAACCTCAGTGGTCTACACATATGATCTGGTCCTCAGGAATTACAGAATGTAGTGCCCCAAAGTGGAGCAGATATTCACCATTCCAGTTATTGGAACTATTATTAACTACTCTAGGGAACGTAATGATAATAGTAAATATTTTAGTTAGATAAGGGATTTCATTAGCTTGTCAGTTTGTACTTGGTATAGTACTTTGTAAATACTTTGTAAAAGAGGGTTTTATTTTACAGGAGTATGCTAATTGACAGTGCTAATTAATACCTAGAAAAGTAATGTTTAAACTCTTATTACCAAAGAAAATAGCTATTAATTACCTGGTTTCTAGAAAAATATGGAATTTCCAAGTATATGACGTTAGTCTTTGTCATTCTTCTACCTTCTTTTCTGTAACTTTCTTCCTGACATCTGTTCTGTAAATGCTTAATTACATTCTGCAGGTTGTGTCTCAGTGGAGTAGGGACTTCAGTGCTTTGCCATTTTTAATGTGCTAGTTTTCATTTTAATTAATTTTCTTACATATTTGAAAATGTCTGTATTTTGGACCGAAAGACATAGCAGATTTAAAAGATTTGAGTTGTAGAAGTTCTGTTATCACTGGAAATAAAGATCAGAAAGCTTCCATTCAGTTTTTAGCTGAAGGAAAGATAGTGAGAATTCTAAATATTTTTGTAAGAGATCTACAAAATGAATTAAAGACAATAAATTGCAATAGTATCAACAGTTAGAAAAATAAATTATTCTTTGTCAGGAAGCTTTACTTGCTTCCTCAGTATATATCTTTGCAAGATGTTTCCAAGTCTGATCTGCATGGATTTATGATGTAAATAAGATACAGATGGTTGAGTTAAATCTTGGTTATAGAGTACTGGCCAGTGTCTAATAAATGCAGATGATTACGTAATTTTATCTTTCTCGTTTTTATCCATAATTTATCAAAACTCTATATTGCATGGCTGCTTTACTCTAAATCTTATGTAGTTACTTAGTGTAGAATTAATTGATTAGTGAAGACAATTGTTTATTGATTTCTTTGTACAGAATGTTATGTTGTAGTGTTCATGAGCTTAATTTTATTTTCAGATTTTTCTCCAGGATTTTGAATCATGAACATTGAAAGGCAACTCTTTGTTTTATGTCACTGAGAGGAGGGTTTAGGGGTTTATACTACCAAACCATTATCGTGTAATTATATGGAGAATGAGTCTGCAATTGCTTTTATATGGTCGGCTTTTTCTGATGCATACCTTAGTTTTCATGACTTCTAAAAGGTTTCTGTTGAACCATATGAAGTTGCTGTTTCTATAAGTAAAAAAAGGGTCAAATATTGGCAATTTCATGAGCTTTAATGTAATACGTAAATGTATTCATTTTCCACACCAGGAAAATTAGAGCAGATATTGAATGGTAAAGTACTTTGGAAAACTACAAGCATTTTTCATTCTGTTACCTTTATTCATTTTTTCCAAAAAATACTATAGTTCTTAAAAGAAAATTTACTGTATTTGAATATATTTGTCATTTCTATTGTTTATTTTTCTATTTTATTTCATCTTACTTGAATAGAACTTATTGTTTTCTTAACTTTGAAAGGAAAATCAACTATATTATGATCCTTCCACTGGAATTTATTACTACTGTGATGTGGAAAGTGGTCGATATCAATTTCATTCTCGAGTAGATTTGCAGCCTTATCAGACTTCTGGCACAAAACAAAGTAAAGATAAAAAATTGAGGAAGAAAAGAAAGGAGCTTGATTCTTCTACAACAAATGAGGAAAAGGTAATGTCATAATTTTTAAAATTTACATAATGGTGATATCATAGTTAAGCTAAAATTTTTGATGCAACTGAAAATCATTTAGTAACTGTATTTTAAACATATTCATTACAATAACAAGATATCAGAATCTTTCAACCAAGAAGCTTTCACATGGAGCAAACATGGACTTTTCACAAATTCTCAATCACTGGAAGTAGAAAAAATTTCTTAAAGTTTGAAGCAGGTAGATTTAGGGCAGATAAAATACTCTTGTGTTACATAATTTGGAAGAAGAATATTCATACCAGCTATTGATAAGTTGATGTCAGTGCACAATTCACAATAAAAGAAAAACACAGTTTGTAAATAGGTGTAGGTAAAAGTTCAACATTCTTAGTTTTGTTGAGCAATTTCTTCTTATGTTAGCAAACATTAAAAAAAATCCATTGCTAGCAAATTTAGGATATATATATATTCATTAGTTTTAATTGGTATCTTTTGGGAAAATGGATTATTTGTATCAATAACCATAAAAATGTTCATATGCTTTAACTGGAAAAGTCTCATTTCTAGTTTGTAATTTAAAAAAAAATTCCAAAGAAAGAAACATTCCTTTGTGTAGTTATACAGCAATATTTATAAGAACAAAAAAATAGATTTAAATGGCTGACAGTTATTGGTTAAGAAGATGATGGTACATTTAAACTTCCAGTTACAAAGTAAATGAGTCACAGGGATGAAATGTACAGTGTGGGGAATATAGTCAATAATAATGTAATATCTTTGTGTGGAAACATGGTAACTAGACTTGACATTGTGATCATTTTGTAATATATAGAAATATTGAATTACTATATTGTGCACCAAGAACTGAGGTAGTGTTATAAGTCAGTTACATTTGAAAAACAAATAAATAATCTCATAGAAGATGATACCAGATTTGTGGTTACCAGAGGCAGGGGGTGGGGAGAGGGGGATAGTTAGATGAAGGTAGTCAGAAGGTACAAACTTCCAGTTATAGGGTTAATAAGTACTAGGACTGTAATGTACAACATGATAAATACAATTAACACTGCTGTAAGATATATGGAAGTTGTTAAGAGAGTAAATTCTGAGAGTTCTTATCACAAGGAAAAAAATTTTTTTATTTTGTATGAAAATGAGATGATGGATGTTCATTAAACTTAACCATGGTAGTAATTTATGATGTATGTAAGTCAGATCATTATGCTGTAAACCTTAAACTTCTGCAGTGCTGTATGTCAATTATATCTTAATAAAAATGGAAGAAAAAAGGAAGAAAATGATAGTACATTTAATTGAAAAAACATTATTTAGTCATTCAGATGGTAGTTTATACAGGCTGAGGGGAATTTTTAAAATACTTATGATACAATGTTAAATTGAAGGAAGGGAAGTAAAAAAATGTTATTAGTGCTCTTATTTCTACTCCCTAAATAGAATTAGGTTGGTGGTTTACAGGCAGGAAAGGAGGCTTATTTGTTATATTGGCGTTTTGTAAATTGTGGCAACTATTCGAAACTTTACTCTTGATTTCTTTTTTTTTTTTGGAAATACAGTTGAAGTACGATATTATGTTAGGTTCAGGTGTACTAAATAGTGATTTGACATTTGCATACGTTATGAAGTGATCACCACCTTAAGTCTAGTAACCATCATCTTCCACATAAAAAGTTATTATATTATTGACCATATTCCTTATGCTGTAAATTGTATTCCCGTGGCTTATTTATTTTATAACTGGAAAGTTATACCTCTTAATCCCCTTCACTTCTTTTGCCCCCACTCCCAACTCCCTCCCCTCTGGCAACCATCCAATTGTTCTCTGTATCTATGAATCTGTTTTCCTTTTGTTTGTTTGTTTTGTTTTTTAGATTCCACATGTAAGTGAGATCATAAGGTATTTGCCTTTCTCTGTCTGACTTACTTCACTTAGCATAATACCCTCTAGAGTCATTAATGTCTTTGCAAATGACAAGATTTCGTTTTTTAAATAGCTGAGTAATATTCCTGTGTGTGTGTGCGCGCGCGCGCGTGCACACCACATCTTTATCTATTTATCTACCAATGGACACTTCGGTTGCTTTCATGTTGGCTGTTGTAAATAATGCTGTGATGAACATTGGGGTGCATATATATTTTTGAGTTCATGTTTTTGTTTTCTTCTGGTAAATACGGAGAAGTGAAATTTCTGGATCATATGGCAGTTCTCTTTTGAATTTTTTGAGGAACCTTCATACTATTTTCCATAGCGACTGCACCAATTTACAATACCACAAACAGTGCTAAAAGGTTCTCTTTTCTCCACATCCTTGGCAACACTTGTTATTTGTTGTCTTTTTGATAATAGCCTCTAGAACAGGTGTGAGGTGATAATCTCATTGTGGTTTTGATTTGCATGTCCCTCATGATTAGCAGTGTTGAGCATCTTTTCATGTGCCTGTTGGCCATCTGCATTTCCTCTTTGCAAAAATGTCTATTCTTCTGCGCATTTTTTAACCTGGTTGTTTTTTTGATGCAAAGTTGTGTAAGCTGTTTATATATTTTGGATATTAATCCATTATTGGTCATATCGTTTGCGAATACCTTCTCCCTTTCACTAGGCTGCCTTTTTGTTTTGTTTATAGTTTCCTTTGCTGTGCAAAAGCTTTTTAGTTTGATGTAGTCCCATTTGTTTATCTTTGCTTTTGTTTTCCTTGACTGAGGAGACATACCCAAAAAAATATTCCTAAGACTGATGTCAAAGAGCATACTGCCTATGTTTTCTTCTAGGAGGTTTGTGGTTTCAGGTCATACATGTCTTTTTTTTTTTTTGCGGTACACGGGCCTCTCACTGTTGTGGCCTCTCCCGTTGCGGAGCACAGGCTCCGGATGCGCAGGCTCTGCGGCCATGGCTCACGGGCCGAGCCGCTCCACGGCATGTGGGATCCTCCCAGACCGGGGCACGAACCCGTGTCTCCTGCATCGGCAGGCGGACTCTCAACCACTGCGCCACCAGGGCAGCCCCTTACATGTCTTTTTATACGTATATATTCATATTTTTTAATTGAAGTATAGTTGATTTATAATGCGTTAGTTTCTGGTGTACAGCAAAGTGATTCAGTAACATGTATATATATTCTTTTTCATATTTTCCATTATGTTTATTACAAGATACTGAATATAGTTCCCTGTGCTATACAGTAGGACCTTGTTGATCATCTGTTTTATATATAGTAGTTTGTATCTGCTAATCCCAAGCTCCTAATTTATTCCCTCACCCCCACCTCTTTGGTAACCATAAGTTTGTTTTCTATGTCTGTGAGTCTGTTTCTGTTTTGTAAATAAGTTTGGGTCATGTTTTAGATTCCACATGTAAGTGACATATGATGTTTGTCTTTCTCTTTCTGACTTACTTAGGATGACAGTCTCTAGGTGCATCCATGTGCTGCAAATGGCATGATTTCATTCTTTTTTTATAGCTGAGTAGTATTCCACTGTGTATATATACCACATCGTCTTTATCCATTCATCTCTCGATGGACATTTAGGTTGCTTCCATGTCTTGGCTGTTGTAAATATTGCTGCAGAGAACATTGGGGTGCATGTATCTTTTCGAATTATAGTTTTCTCCAGGTATGTGCCCAGGTGTGGGATTGATGGATCATATGGTAACTCTATTTTTAGCTTTTTAAGGAACTTCCATACTGTTTTCCATAGTGGCTGCACCAACTTATATTTCCATCAACAGTGTAGGAGGGTTCCCTTTTCTCCACACCCTCTCTAGCATTTATTATTTGTAGACTTTTTAATGATGCCCATTCTGACCAGTGTGAGGGGTTACCTCATTGTAGTTTTGATTTGCATTTCTCTAATAATTAATGAAGTTGAGTATCCTTTCATGTGCTTCTTGGCCATCTGTATGTCTTCTCTGGAGAAATGTCTCTTTAGGTCTTCTGCCCATTTTTTGTTTTGGGTTGGTTGTTTTCTTGTTATTGAGTTGTATGACCTGTTTGTATATTTTGGAAATTAAGCCCTTGTCAGTTATGTTGTATGCAGAGGTTTTCTCCCAGTCTATGGGTTGTCTTTTTGTTTGTTTATAGTTTCCTTTGCTGTGCAAAAGCTTTTAAGTTTGATTAGATCTTGTTTATTAATATTTCTGTTGCCTTGGGAGACTGCCCTAAGAAAACATTGCTACAATTTATGTCAGAGAATGTTTCTCCCATGTTCTTCTCTAGGAGTTTTATGGTGTCATGTCTTGTATTTAAGTCTTTAAACCGTTTAGAGTTTATTTTTGTGTAGGGTGTGAGAGAGTGTTCTGACTCCATTGATTTTATATGTGGCTGTCAGCTTCCCCAACACCACTTGCTGAAAAGACTGTTGTTTCTCCATTGTATATTCTTTCCTCCTTTGTTACATTTAAGTCTTTAATCCATTTTGAGTTTATTTTTTGTGTATGGTGTGAGAAAATGACCCAGTTTCATTCTTTTGCACATAGCCGTCCAATTTTCCCATCACCATTTAGAGGTGATGGGAAAAGGCAGTCTTTTCCCATTGTGTATCCTTGCCTCCTTTGTCATAGATTAACTTCCCGTATAAGTGTGGGTTTATTTCTGGGCTCTCTATTCTGTTCCATTGATCTATGTGTCTTTTTTTGTGCCGGTGCCATACTGTTTTGATTACTGTAGCTTTGTAGTATATTTTGAAATCAGGGAGCATGGTACCTCCAGCTTTGTTCTTCTTTCTTAAGATTGTTTTGGCTATTTGGGGTCTTTTGTGTTTCCTTACAAATTATAGAATTATTTTAGTTCTGCGAAAAGCACCATTTGTATTTTAATAGGGATTGCATTGAGTCTTTAGATTGTCTTGGGTATAGTATGGCCATTTTAACAATATTCTCCCAATCCATGAGCACAGTATATCTTTCCATTTGTTCCTCTTCTTTCCTCAATATTATAGTTTTTAGAGTATGAGTCATTTTCCTCTTTGGTTAGATTTTTTTTAAATTCATCAATCCCTGA